AAGTCGATTTTTCGACGCTCGAGTGGGCAAGAGACGACACGATTGACCGCTAGCCATTGGGAGTGGTGGCGTGGCGGGTTAGCAGGGACTAGGCTAGAAGCAAATGGCTCTCTCGCCTACTGTTGCGTCGATCTGGACGGCGAAAACTCAACTTCCTGCGCTGCGCCGGGAAGCATGCGATGACCTGCGACGCATGCATTCGCAGCGTGTCGACTGCCTGCCACGTATCGAGCGAGAGCGGCAATGGCAGCGCGAGGAGGCGCAGACCATCCATAAACACGTCACGGTGAGAGAGCCAGGCCGAAGCGCGCAGGGACGGCCAGAGGTCGGCGACAGGCAGACGCTGCGATAGCGCGAGAAAGCTCACGAGCGGCGCAATGAGGCTGTCACCTGGCAACGCTCGTAGCAGGTTGTGCAGCGTGTACGGGCAGCGTATACAGCGCGCAATCGTGGCGATGACGCCGGCCAGCGACGCGACCTGGGCTGCTGCTGCCATCCTGCCTGGTCAAAACCGATCCCCGTAGACGTGTATTCATAGCCGACCTCACTCTCTGTATGTCGTGTAGATAAACCAGTCTGTTATGAGACGTCCTGGATGTCAAATTAAGGGTGTCGGCTATTGAAAATAGAAAACGGATGCACCCCTGTTGGCGACACGGTCAGTCGGCGCTACGAAGAGGGTCGACGCCGAAGCGCTGCGACCTTGTCCGCAAACGTCAGTTGTGCAATATCCATAGTTGTCCATGACAGCGACGGAACGACGCACACTGGCGACACCGCGCGCAGAGCCTCCATGACGTCGGTATAGAACGCCTTGCAGGCTGTCGACGTCGCATAGACCTCGATCTCGGCAGTGGTAAAGTTGTCGTAGACTATGAGCTCATTTGGACGAAGACCGAATTGCGTCGCGCAAATGTGGCTATGGGCGCGGCGGAAGGTCGGTGCGAGGGCGCCATCCAGAGCACCGTCCGCACAGTCGGCGACGGACGGCGTTTGTTCGATCGTCGCTGCCACCACGCACCACATCACGGGCACACGACGCCAGAGTCCAAGCACCATTCTTTGCCTCAAAATGCAAAATGAGTCCGAGGCGAGGCTGCTAGAGAGGCAGCTGCGTGTAAAAGCTCGATCCCGCCTTTCCCCTAACCCGCCGCGGGGTAGGGTACGGCGTCGGTGACAAATGTACCAGGTTCTAGTAGCTAGCTAGCAGTTCTCTATCTCGCCGCCCAGGTTCACCCAGACTAGATATGGCAAACCAAAAATCTGATGCAGCGCATTGGGATAGGACATATAGCTTGGTGCGAATTAAGCCGGTGGCTCCACCGTCGACGCCGCGGCACCTGGATGACGCGCCCCGGTCGGCGACGTCTGTGCGAGAGACGCGATCGTTCCGGACTCGTTCGATGTTCTCTGTTCTCAAGGAAGATCACCGCCTACTACACCTACTACCGCCTGTGCAACCCGTACGGTACTGGTTTTGGTGCCATAAGAGGGCGCCCAAGCCGCGAATAGTCGCGTAACCGATTTCATCACAAAAAGTACAACCCCCAGATCCCTTTTTTCTCATTCATGCGCAGCGCCGGCAGCTCCCCGATCATGCCCATTGGGCCGACGATCGGCGGCGCCGCAGTCACGAGCGCGGCGTCGCCCCGTCTCCAACAGCTCTACCGCGCGGTCGTCGTCATCATTGGCGCTTGCGTGCTCGTGCTTGTGGCCTTTGATACGATTGCCAACAACTGGTCCTTGAACGACTACATTGGCAACGGCAACTGCTTCAAGACACCGATCGCGACCGTCTTGGATATCTCGGGCGTCTCGGCGTCGTATCGGTTTCGCCTCGACCTTGCGCTCGAAGATGTTTCCCAAATCGGAGGTTGGATGCTCAACTACACTTTGAGCGAGCTGATCGGTGCCAACACCGACTACTACGTTGTCTCGGCCGGCACGTACCAAGTGCCCGCGACCACAGATCTCTGCAGCACGTTTGAAGGCGAGTACCTAGTCGACCTGCGCGCCGACTCGTTCAAGATTGCCGTCATCACCAACTCGATCACGTTCATGCGCGGCAGTGCATGGAGCCACCTGTTTACAAAAGACACGTCCGAGAGGCTGGCGACGTCCAAAATGCGCAGCAATGAGCTCTTGGATTTGGGCTATGTGCCCACACGCCTCACAGTCGATCTGCGCTTGTCCGACCCGTTCAACATTGCCAATACGTCGTCGACCCAACACGTCATGATGAGCTACTACCGGATCTTTCCGCGAAGCTTTTGCAGCGGGTGCACGCCCGTGGTGGAGCTCGGGCATGGAAGTTGCAACTTTACCGTCGTGTACGACGACGCCACGGCCTCCATGACGGTGCTCCGTAGTGCGAACGTCGACATGTCGACGTACAAACTCGGGTTGATGCTGCCAAAGTCGTCGTTCTCGTCCGCGGCGCACTACCTCAAGGTGATTGCGATTGCATTTGCGATCGGTGGGTACCTCGGGAGTCGCAAAACTGTGCAGTGGAAAGAAGTCAACCATGCCGAGGCCGACTCGATTTTTGCCAAAGTGTTGCGGACCGTGTCGCCCAAGTATTTTCCGTACCCGAGTTTGGCGCTTCGCTTTGGAATGTTTTGCTACAACTCCGACTGGTTTGTGCTACTCTTTGCCATCAGCACACTGCTCGACATGGGCAACTGGTTCGTCGCAATGCGCAACATTCAATTGTACAACAAACTCGTGCCGCAATTTGGCATTTCGCTGCAGCTCTACGCGCTCTGCGTCCGTCTCTTGTGGATCAACTGTCTATTTCTCAAAGTACTCAAACTCGGCTGGAGCATCCTGAGCACGGCGTCGTACAATGGCGAGAGTCGACTCATGGGCTACTGCAACTTGTCGAGCGTCACGTTCTTGTATCTGAGCGCCGCGCTCTTATTTTACGTCCCGGCGTTTGTCGAGTACAACAACAGCGTCAGCATCGAGCTATCGTACACGTCACAGATCCTCGACCCGATTCATGTCGATGCCTTTAATGGCTTTTATCTCCGCTGCATCCCGTCGATTGTTGTGCTTTTGGTTGTGAATGTTCTCGGTATCACGACGCTCGACCATGTCTTTCGGTACAAACACTGGGCGTTTCTCGCGAAAAATTCGCTGGCGCGTCAAGCCATCTTCAACAGCAGCTCGATCGTCTGCGACTACCTCGATGATATTGTACCCGATCCGGACGTCGACAGCCAAGGGTCGCTGCTCATCTGCAAGGCGCGCCGGCTCAGTACGCTGCAGTGGTTTTTCATGAACCATTTGCGCTGCTTTGGGCTGCCCGAGAAGGAGCTCCGCGCCAAGAAAAAAATGATGCAAACTTCCACCGCGATGACGTCGACGTCGAGCGAAGATGTCAAGGGCAACAGCAAATGCATCGTTGCGCAAGACAGCGACGGCCATGTTCACTTGTTGGATGGTGGCTTGAACGATGTGACGGCACTTGTGTACAACATCAAAATTCTTAAAGACTCGACCGTCGCGATTCAGTAGCATATATATGTTTTCAATGTTAACAACAACCGTGAAAAGTTATTGTGATTGTCGCCGCGCGACTTTTCTCTGGGATGGGAGCGAATTATTTAGGTACATGTACACTGTCCTCGTGACTTGAACCAAGCGACAGATCATTTATCCAAGCTCGCGCGCGACGAATGGGGCTTGATGTCCCAACGACGGATAACACCCCTCGCTGTCGTTGGGCCAGCTCTAACTCATTTTACGTTAGGGAGATCTCGGCTGCCGACGTCCGACACACGTAAGTACACACATGCAACTCGGTAGATGCAGCATTTACCAGAGCATTTACTATGAGTCTACATGCAAATATTTCAATCCAATCAGTCAATCGAGCAATCAGTCCATCTGCCTGTTGTTCAGTTAGTCGTTAGTATGTTAGTTAGTTAGTCGAGTAGGTAGCTAGTTAGTTAGTCAGCCAGTCAGTCAGCTCCAACTTGTGTGCCACATAGCTACGAAGCATTGTCGCACTTGGATATAGTTCCCACGCAATTGCGATGTGGTTAAAATGAACGGTGAATCCACCACTGCGCTTTGCGTCGAAAACTCTGCTCGGTACTTGGAAGGTCGGGTTTCGGGAGCGAAACTCACCAAACAAAGCCCGATATACGTCGACTCAGCGACTACTCGACTCGAGTCCATGGCTGAAGACGGTCGTGCTCTTTCCGATCGATACAAAAAGCAAGAATAATGCAGGGGAGTATTGCGACGCAGCGCGTTGAAACCATTTTTAGAGCCAAGTTGCGAAACCACTCTTATTTCAGAGGTCGGCTCCCGTTAAAATCAAGCCACCCCAACGACCACTCCCCCCCGAGGCTGGGCGGCAGTACGCCCTTTTCGACCTCTGACGACTCCATGCCCGCATATCGAATATTGTTTTCGTGGCTCATGAACCACCGCCATGCCCTCGGCTCGGGGTGATCGTTTCAATCACAAATGCACGTCCGCGTAAAAATACATGGGGCTCCATAGTCGTGCGTTTTCATGCTATGGCCATGGGTTGGTGTCCAAGGAGCGAAAGGGAGGCATCGCGCCCTGTACTTGCACTAGACAGGTCGTGCAACGACACCTGACAGTGTAAAGCTGTGCTCCAAGTACGCTCACTTTCTTTTTCGGTTTTTAGTCGCGCCGATTGCGTGTTGGCGTTATTAATACATGAAGTGCTACAAATCTTATGCTAGGAATAGCCCACAATGGAGCAGCCTGCAACAGCCCTCACAACGCATTTTCCCATGCCCACCAGTGGCAGCACCGCGATTGTACCCACGGGCCCGACGGTCAGCGGCATTCTTGTGCCAAGCGCATCGTCCTCCCGTACCCAGCAGATTGTTCAAATCGTTGTCACGGTTCTTGGCACGATCGTGCTCGTGCTCGTTATCATTGACACGCTGGCCAACAACTGGGCGCTAAACGACGCGATTAGCAACGCTCAGTTCTTTCGCACCCCGATCGCGACCGTCACGGACTTCTCGGGTCTCTCGGCGGCGTACGCGTTTGCGCGCGAGCGGGCGCTCGCTGATATTTCGCAGATCGGCGGCTGGATGCTCAACTTGACATTATCCGAATTGGTCAGTCTCGAGACCAACTACTATGTCGTGTCGGCTGGCGCCTACGACCTGCCCGCGACCACAGACCTCTGCAGCACCTTTGAAGGCCACTACGATGTGAATCTGGATGCGGAGCGGATCAAGATTGCGGTCGTCTCGAGCTCGGTCACGTTCGTTCGAGGCAGTGCGTGGAGCCATTTCTTTACAAAAGACGCGACCCACGACTTGGCGACATCGGCCATGGGCAGCAGCGAGCTCTTGGCGCTGGGCTATACAGCAGCACGTAATGTAGCCGATTTGCGCCTGTCGGACCCGTTCAAGATTGCCAAGAGCGCCCAAACGCAGCAGATTGTCATCTCGTACTACAAGCTGTCGCCACGGAGCTTTTGCAGCGGGTTCACGCCCATCGTCGTGCTTGGCCACGGCAAATGCAACCTCACGCTTCTCTACGACGACGCCACGTCCGTGATGAAGGTGCAGAAGAGTGCCAACGTGGACAAGTCGATGTACAAGCTCGGGTTCATGCTGCCGCAATCAAAATTTTCGACTGCGTCAAATTACCTCAAGGCGATCGCGATCGCGTTTGCCATTGGCGGCTACCTCGGGAGTCGCAAAACTGTGCAGTGGGACGACGTCGACCTGAGCGTCACCGACTCGATTTTTTCGAAACTATTGGGCACGATTTCGCCAAAGTACTTTCCGTACCCGAGTTTGGCGCTGAGCTTTGACATGTTTTGCTACAATTCCGATTTGTTTGTGCTGCTGTTTGCAGCGAGCGTGATTCTGGACATGGCCACGTGGTACGTCGCGATTCGCAACTTGCAATACTATAATTCGCTCGCGCCTCAATTTGGTGTGTCGCTGCAGCTCTATGCGCTGAGCATCCGTCTCTTGTGGCTCAACTGTCTCTTTTTAAAGATGCTCAAACTCGGGTGGAGCGTTCTGAGCACGGCCAGCTACAGTGGCGAGAGCCGTGTCATGGGCTACTTCAACTTGTCGAGCGTCTCGTTCGTGTACTTGAGTGCTGCGCTTCTCGTTTTCGTTCCATCGTTTGTCGAGTACAACAACAGCGTCAACATCGAGCTCGACTTTGGCACCGAGATTTTGGACCCGATTCACGTTGACGCCTACGATGCATTTTTTATTCGCTGCGTTCCCTCGATTATTGTCCTCCTGATCGTCAACGTCCTCGGCATCACGACGCTCGACCATGTCTTTCGGTACAAACACTGGGCGTTTCTCGCGAAAAACTCACTCGCACGCCAAGCCATCTTTAACAGCAGCTCGATCGTCTGCGACTACCTTGAGGGTATTGCGCCGGACTCTGACGTCGGCGGTCACGGGTCGCTGCTCATCTGCAAGGCGCGTCGGCTCAGTACGCTGCAGTGGTTCTTCATGAACCATCTGCGGTGCTTTGGGCTGCCCGAGAAGGAGCTCCGCGCGAAAAAGAAGATGCTGCAGACGTCGTCCGTGACCATGTCGACGTCGAGCGAAGATGGCAAGGGCAACGCCAAATGCATCGTCGCGCAAGACAGCAACGGCCATGTTCACTTGTTGAATGCCGGCTTGAACGATGTGACAGCGCTCGTATTCAACATCAAGATTCTCAAAGACACGTCGGTCGCGATCCAGTAGATGTTTCATACCAACATGCTGTCTATTGCTCTCTTTCATACAACACTTGCTTTTTATTTGATTTCAGTTGTCATGATCGCCATTGACGGGATTGAGAGAGAGCCTTGGGTCTCGGGACAGAGCTGTGGTGGGGTTGGACATTTCCAGCGAAAGATAATAGGATCCTAAATGATGGTGAACCTTTTTCATTGCATAAGCTCGGTTAAGGGACGACATCGTAGTTGGCAACGACGGGAGTGCGATTCGCAGGCACGAAGTTGGCGAAGTCACTTGTGTTGTGCGCTAAAACAGACGAGCAGGGCGAGATCCGGTTGCGCCGGCAGCGACACTGCAGCACCTCGATCGGCGATGTTCTGTCCTATGTATACAGTTGTACATTGCTCGAGATACTCTTATACAAACTGTACAAGGTGGTGGGCACCAGTGAAATGTCGAGGAGATTGTATTCTGAGTGAAAAGTGTTGTGCATGTGGACAAATCGTACCTTGATGTAGGAATTAGCTCCCTTATCCGGATACTAGGGTCTCCGAAGACATTTTATTCAGTGGCTATTATTCAATAAAACCACTCGAATGTACTGACATTTTCCATAACGTTACCTCAAAATCATGGATTAATCATGGATACTGTACGAAAATGCTGCGAAATGCTCTGGATCACCACATATGACTGCATGACGATAAGAGCAAACGACTATACTGTAGTACTCTCTGCGCTTGTGTATGTCGCTCGCCCACAACATCAACCAAGCTCCGTGCCGGGCACTCGTCGCGTGGCACCGCTGACCTCGTGAGGGTTTGCGGCACCGGATGACCGACACGGTTCTTTGCCGTCATCATGTAAAACTCCTCAAACCGCTAAGTTTGGTCAGCTGAGCGAGTGCCGGCTTGAAACGCCGAGCGCGCCATCACCCACCAATCGCAAGCACCGCAGGCACGTGCGGCATCTTTTCCTAGAAATAACCACTACAAGTCCGAGGCGGGAGCTCTGCATTGCTATAGGTGTCAGCAGCATCGATACCTAACTAGTCGAACTAGTCGGTATACTATTGGCCAACGCCGTGTTGCGCAAGACATTTTATCTCGTACAGCACGTGTAGGACCATCTTGAATGGCTTGGATCGTGAGCCGTTTCATCTTCCCGCCAAAAAACATGGCGGGACAATGCTATGCTGTCAACAATCGGAGGATCAGTCAGGATGGTTTGGTACACACGGCTATGGCATCGAACACCAGACGCAGTGCATTCTCACCACGCAATGGGCTGAACATGTACATTGTAGTATGTATCGCCGTATCTTGGCTGCTCTGTGAACCAGCGTTGCGCCACGGTCCTTGTGGTACTTCTGGAGAGGCTTGCTTCTTTGTGGGTTAAATATAGCGACCTACAGTAAACGAAGGTGGGACGCTTTTGACGGATCGCACGTTGGTCGTCCCACACACATCATTTGCATCACGCTCCTGCCACCAAACACACTTTGCAACGACCTTGGTCGGGCAAAATCGACGCGCACGATGGAGCTGCCGGTGCTCCCTGATGGTCCGTCCAAGAGCGTAGTCGTCCCGATCAAGTCGCGTCTCTGTGTGCGCAAAGATGTTTTCTTTCAAGCCGGCGTAAGTCTTGTCGGGCTCGCCATCATCCTTTTGGTTGCGACCGACACGATTGTCAACAACTGGGCCGTGAACGACTACCTCGGGAACGCGTACCGCTTCATCACGCCCGTCACAGACATGACCTCCGTCACCGACTTGGATGGCACGTATACGTTTATGCGCGGCGCCGCACCCGCCGACATCTCCCGCATCGGCAACTGGATGCTCAACTATACCATGAGTGCCCTTGCGACCAAGAGCAGCGACGTCTACATTGTGTGGGCCGGCTTTTTCACGATGACGCCCGCCATCAACTTTTGCCGCGCATTCCAAGGCGAGTACGTGCTCCCAACGCTCACCAAGCGCCGGCTTGGCCTCGCCGGCAACACGGTCACGTTCTTTCGCGGGTCTGCGCTCACGCACCTGTTTACGGACGACGCTAGTGTCAACTTGGCGAATGGCAGCATGACCACGTCCACGCTCAACGCGCTCGGGTACACGGCGGGTCGGCATCTCGTGGACCTCCGGCTCACGACCGAGTTGTCGTTTTCCAACAGCTCGACGCCATCGTCCCAGCGCCTTTCCTTTTTTCGCGTGAGCCCAAAGTCGTACTGCACGGGGTGCAACCCGGTGGCCGAGATTGGGTACGGAATGTGCAACATCACGAGCGTCTACGACGTGAGTCGTCAAGTGCTGCGCATCACGAACGCGTCCAACATCCTGGGGTCGGACTACCAACTCGGGATGATGCTGCCCCACACGAGCTTTTCGTCGGCGTCGCACTACGTCAAGGCGATTGCGATTGTGTTTGCTGTTGGCGGCTACTTGGCGAGTCGCCGCACGGTGCAATGGAAAGAAGCCGATGCGTCAAAATCCGACTCGATTTTTTCGAAAATTTTGCGCACGATATCGCCAAAGTACTTTGCGTACCCGAGTTTGGCGCTGCGTTTTGATATGTTTTGCTACAACTTCGATCTCTTTGTGTTTCTCTTTGCGACGAGCGTCGTGCTCGACATGGGCAATTGTCTACTGTTTTTGCGACACATTTCCGCGTACGCGGCGCCCGCGCCGACGTATACGCATACGTTTCAAATGTATGCGCTCACGACGCGCATGCTCTGGTTCAACTGCGCGTGCCTCAAGCTGCTCAAGATCGCGTGGAGCATCGTGAGTACCGCGACGTTCAACGGCGAAAGCGTCCTCATGGGCTATCTCAACTGGACCAATGTCACGTCGCTATACATTAGCGGCATTGTACTCGCGTACATTCCGACGTACATTGACTATAGCAACAGCGTCGCAATTGACATCAACCACGTGGTCGAGAACCTCGACACGCTCTTTGTCGACGCGCTCGACGGCTACTACTTGCGCACGACGCCGGCGATCGCTATCGGCGTATTGGCCAACGTACTGCTGGTGACGCTGCTCGACCATGTGTGGCACCGCGGCCGGTGGCGCCGGCTTGCGAAAAACTCGCTCGCGCGCCAAGCCATTTTCAACAGTAGCTCGATCGTGTGCGACTACCTTGACGGCATCGAGGTTGACGTGGACGGTGCGACGATCATTCACTGCAAGGCGCGCCGCCTCAGCACGCTCCAGTGGTTTTTCATGAGCCATTTGGTGTGCTTTGGCCTCCCCGAGAAGCAGCTCCGGCTCAAGAAGCGCATGTTGCAGTCGTCGGCGACCACCAAGGACGAGTCGAGCACTGGCAACGACACCAAGTTTATGGTCCTTCAAGACACGGACCACAATGTACACCTTGTCGATAATGTCTTCTCGGACGTGACCGCGCTCGTGTACAACATCAAGGTGCTCAAGGACACCATCGTGACGATCCAATGATGTAATATCTTCTGCACTTTTCATACTCTGCACATTACGAAATATAGATTCTGTATTCCACCACGCAAACAGCGTCTTTCATATAGGAATTCCAATGCGATGCCATTCCTGCAGCTTCAATCCTAGCCAGTGAGGCCAATCCAAATTTGCCAAGGTCAAATCACGAAGCTATCTATCTATCTATCTATCTATCTATCTATCTATCTATCTATCTATCTATCTATCTATCTATCTATCTATCTATCTATCTATCTATCTATCTA